TATATATATATATACACCACAATTATCATTAACAACAACAACAAAAAGAACAGCAACAACATTACCGGAAAACCAATATAGAGACTATATAATCCATTGACAACAATGAATCCTAAAGGAGAGACGATCATGCGTGATCTTATCGCAGAACTGGAGCAGATGCACTCACGATATACTGTGCAGCGATTCATCAGCAGTGGGAGTTACGGCGCGGTCTGCGCAGGCGTTGATGAGAATGACCGGGCAGTGGCTATTAAGCGTGTATTTAATACGGTCTCTGATGGTCGCACTGTGAATATTCTCTCTGACCCATTTCTCTGCAAGCGAGTCCTGCGAGAGATTATGCTTCTTAATCACTTTCACCACCCAAACATTCTCGGACTGCGAGATATCTTTATTCACTTACAACCCCCGAGTCTACACAAGTTGTATCTCGTCACGGATCTCATGCGTACAGACCTCGCACAGGTGATTCACGATCAACGCATTCAAATCTCACCGCAGCACATTCAATTCTTCATGTATCACATTCTCTTAGCGCTGCACGTCCTGCACGAGGCGGGTGTGGTCCACAGGGATCTTCACCCCGGCAATGTGTTGGTTGCGGAGAACAATGATATCACCATCTGCGACTTTAATCTCGCCCGCGAGGACACACAAGATCAGAACAAAACACACTACGTCACGCATCGCTGGTATCGCGCCCCAGAGCTCGTTATGCAGTTTAAAGGCTTTACAAAACTTGTAGATATTTGGTCCGCCGGCTGTGTGATGGCGGAGTTATTTAACCGCAAGGCACTTTTCCGCGGCTCCACCTTTTACAATCAACTGGATAAGATTGTGGAGGTGGTCGGCACACCGGATGGGGATGATGTCGTGATGTTCTCTTCTCCACAGGCACGTGATTATTTACAAACTTCACTCGCGCATTGCAAGAAGCGGCCGTGGAGTGAAGTGGTGCCCACTGCAGACGCGGAGGCACTCGATCTGCTTGGAAAGATGTTGGAGTTTAACCCCGCACGGCGAATTACCGCAGAGCAGGCATTACAACACCCGTACTTTCATTCCCTGTACGATCCAATGGATCTCAAAGATGCACATAGTGAGCCATTCCACTTTCGTGATGTAAATGATATTCCCACCATGCACGCAATGTTTCTCGAGGAGGTTCGACGCTTTGGCGTTTTGAAAGAAAAGCGGGAGAACATCGCCCAACAAAGAGCAGCAGCGGCAGCAGCGACGGCGCATTCCGATGTTCTCGGTGCTGATCACATGCTGCGTACCCACAGTCTGATGGAAGTGGCGGAGATGATTCGCAAATAGCAATCAGGGTTAATGAGAGCTATACTAGGGCAGTTGTTGTTGCTATTGCTGCTTTCAGTGTGGCCTTTGGTGTGGGTGGTTTCTTTTTGTTTCACTACACTCTCAGTGTATGTACATATATGTTTGTATACATATGCCTATCTACGGTATATCTTTACGAGGATGAGGATGAGGATGAGGAATAGAAATGAATAAAAAAAAAAATACTCACAGTAATAGTAACAAAAGACCAAAATTTAACCGGGGGAAAGGCGATGAGGAAATGAGTGGGTAAGCAAGTAAGAGGCAAAAAGGTATGCAGGATATATATATAAGTAAAACAATAACAAAAAAAAAGGAGGGAAAAGAGATGAGCAAACTGTAGATTAATAAAAGAAAGAGAAAACAAAGGGAAGTAATTGTGAAAAGTAACAAAGACGATATGATATATATATGGAGAGAGAGAGAGACCGAAGAAGGGAAAACAGCAGAAAATTCAAAATGAAAAACAGAAAAGTGAACACAATATGGAGTGTGTATGTGTATCTTTGTAATTGGAGTAAAAAGGGCGAAAGGAAAGCCAGGCGCTCTGGAACATATATAGCAGAAGAGTTGGGAAATCAGAAGTATACAGAAAGAAGAAGAAGAAAGGAAGATGACTGAATACACATGTAGTGTGATGCATATAGGTGTGTGTCTGTGTGTGTGCTGTTGTTTTTTTTCTTTCCTTCTTTCTTTTCTCTGACCTTCTCTGCATTTCTTTTCCCCCTATACATATATATAAGACTGTTGTTGTTCCTTTTTTTTTTGTTTTTCTCTCCGTTGATGATTTCTCTAGTGTTATGCGATTTTATATATTCTCTGTGTTCTTTGTTTTCTTCTTTAACGTTTTCTCTTTTTTTTAAAATCACTTTTCTGCATGTGTGCCATTCACTCTATGGACTACTGAATACACTTGTTATTAGCCTCATCCTATTCTTTTTAACCATTGACTCTTTTTTTTTGTTGTTGTTGTTCCTTCTTTCTTTTGCTTTACTTTGTTTGCTGGTTGAGATTTCTGATTCCTTTTTTTTTTGTTTTTTGAATTTACTCTTCTGCAATGGAATGCATGAGTTTTTTCTTTTCTTTTTTTTTTTTCTTCCTTTTCTGACAATTGAGAGAAAGCGAAAGAATGGATTATTTAAAGAAAAGAAGAAGAAGAAGAGGGGAAAAAAAAAGAAGAATACAGGGATCTGTGGGGTGCTATACACATAAGAGGGGTATTTACATACGAATATAGAGTCTCTATTGATAAGAAGAAGACTTTATTGCCCTCTGTTGTTGTGTATACATCTCATTAGCCCGGTTTGAAATCTGCTCTCCATTTTATTCACCTGATGTGATATTTCTGTTTGTTTTTATGCAACGGCGTACAGAAATGTGAAATCACTTTTTGTTTATTACTTCTTACTATCTAATGTTGATTTCTTTTTCTTTTGTTTTTGTTTTTCTTTCCCCATTCTTTTTCTTTATTGAGACGCCGAGAGCGACTTATCGTGGCTGTTGGATGCAAACGGGTGCTACCGGAAGGGAATGCCTATGTACGACATATACACATACACCTTTTCTCATTTCTTATGATCTCTCTGTACACCACTATCTAAATTGCAAAGAAATACCATTTATGTCATTTTCATGTTCTTTATAATCTGTTTTTTGTTCTCATCGCGTATACCTTATTTTTTTCTCTCTTTTTTTTTCTTTCTTTGTTTTTTTTGTTTTTCTGTTTTTTTTTTTTTTCTTCTGTTTTTCTTCCTTTCTCCTGTTCTATTTTTTATTTTTTGTTTTCCTATTCTCTCTCGCATCTGTTTACCGTATTAGCAAGAAGAACTCTAATAACTTGCCTCTGCCGCTTTTATTTTCAGCGTGGACGGCAAACCGAAACGAAAAGCAGAAGAGAAAAAAAAAGTAAGAGAAAAAAAAACATCACGAAAGAGAAAGAAAGAAAAAAAAAAACAGTTAAAAGGAAAATAAAAGAATAAAAAGAACGAAGAAGAAAAGAAAAAGAAAAAAAGCATGTCCAAGACACTGTACATTCTTTACGAGGCCCCAACGGGTTACGCTATCTATAAGGTCCTCACCACCGAAGAGATCGGCGCCGGGGATGTGGCTCTGCAGAAGGACCTGCAGGACTTCGCCACCTTCTCCCCGTGGGTGAAACTCATGTCCTTCGCGCCCTTTCAATCACCAGAGAATGCCCTTGAGGATGCTGTTTGCATCAGTGAGTCCCTTGTTAGCCCGTTTCTGAACAACTTCCTCACATCTGTGCTCGCCAAGAAGGCAAAGAAGGATGATGCCAGCTGGGAGCTTGGTGTGTGTGATGCAAAGCTTGGTGGTGCTATTCACGACGAGCTTAACTTCCCTGTTGTGTGCAATGAGAACGTTGTGGAGATTGCCCGCTGCCTCCGCACACACGCAGAGAAACTGTTGCCAGAACACAAGGAGGGTGATATCCCACGTGCACAGTGTGGTCTTGGTCACGCCTTCTCTCGTAACAAGGTGAAGTTCAACGTCCACCGCAGTGATAACATGATCATTCAGTCCTCTGCCCTCGCAGAGCATATGGACAAGGGCGTGAATCTCCTCGGCATGCGTGTGAAGGAGTGGTACGGCTGGCACTTCCCAGAACTCGCCCGTGAGGTCCCAGAGCCACTGAAGTATGCGAAGATCGCCCTCTTACTGGGCAGCCGCAGTACACTCGAGGAGAGAGACGCGGAAGAAGTCACAGCGCAGATTGCAGATATCCTCGACGGTGATGCTGCACTCGCCGCACGTGTGTATGAAAAGGCCGTCACTTCCATGGGCGGAGATATGGCAGAAGTGGATTGGGTGAATATTCGCAGCTTCACTGAGCGTGTGACTTCACTCGGTGCCTATCGCGAGTCCCTGCAACAGTACCTCGTTGATAAGATGATGCTCGTCGCTCCAAACTTGACAGAACTGATGGGCCAGAACATTGGCGCGAAGCTCATCTCAAAGGCAGGCTCACTCACCAATCTCGCAAAGGCACCCGCCAGTACAATTCAGATCCTCGGTGCGGAAAAGGCACTCTTCCGTGCTCTCAAGAAGCGCAAGGGCAACACTCCAAAGTATGGACTTATCTTCCACTCAAGCTTTATTCAACGCGCCCCGAAGGAGCATCGCGGAAAGATCTCTCGCTATCTTGCCAACAAGGCCGCTCTTGCATGCCGCATCGATTGCTTCATGGATGTTCCACCAGCAGTCTTCGGTGAAAAGCTGCGTGAACAGGTGGAGGCACGTCTCAACTTCTTCGATACAGGCAACAAGCCACCATCGAATAAAGCAGCCATGGCAGAGGCACTTGAGCAGTATCAGAAGATCCTCCGCAAACGTGCCAAGAAGCAGCGCGCGGAGAAAAGCGAAGAAGAAGAGGAAACCAATGGAGAGAACGGTGCTGAGAAGAACGAGACACCAAAGAAGAAGCAGAGACGCCGTGAAGTGGTAGAGGAGTCCGACTAGGATGAGAAACATCATCAGAACGCAGCAAATAGTAAATGGGAGCAGCAGCAGCATCAGCGGCAGGGGAGGGTGAAAAAGAAGGAATAATCCCGTGGTATAGGCGGTGGTAATTGGAAAAAAAAAAAAAGAAAAAAGAGATAAAGAAGCAATCAAGAAGAAGAAAAAGAAAAAAAGAAAAGAAAGGAGAATCTCAGAAGGGGGGTAAAAGTGTGTGTTTCTCTTAAATCCTTCTGTACTTTTTTTTTTTCTCGTTTTGCTTTATTGCTTCTTTTCGTTTTTTTGTTTTTACATTTCTTCTAGTTCCGGATTTCTTCGTTTTCTCTTTCTTTGTTTTTTGTTTGTTTGTTTGTTTTTCGAGCCTCAGATACCAGAGCGTGTTTGCTGTTGTTCTCGGAGGAGTGAGCTGCATACCAGTTGGTTTTGTTTCGTTCTTAAGTTTCTGCAGTGCCGATTGTTGTCAAATTTTTTCATTTAAAAAAGTTAAAACAAAAAAAAAAAACGAAAGAAAAAAAAAACACATATATATATACAAGTGGTGGACAGAAAAGAGAAAAAAAGAAAAGACATTCTACAAAGAAAACAAGAGGAGGGGAAGGAGCTTTCTTTTTTTTTTCTTTCTTTCTTTTTTGTCGCCGCACGTAAGCCATCTCACTAACGGCGCAAGAAATACATTTACACGGATAAGTGAAACACAAAGAAAAAAAAGAAGAAAGAAAAAGAAAGAGTATGTGTGATTGTGTCTAGCACGACTAAAAAGAAAAAAAAAAAGGCAAAAAAGGAAGGCGATAGCAGCACTTATGCTCCTTTTTTTTTCGTTCTTAATGTTATTGTTTCGGTATGCACTTTCACCAGATAATATATGCCCCCAAATTATCTTTTTATTTCATAAACTAATAAAAATACTTCTTTTTTCCTTTTTTCTTTTCCTATTTATCTAATTTTCTCGTGGTTATGGTTTTTGTTGTTTGCTTTGTAAGCATCCTTAGTAGTGTTTTTCTTTAAATAGGGTGCAGCAAACAAACAAACAAAACAAAATAACGAACTTAACAGTCAACGATGCTTGACGCTACTAGTACAACAACAACCGTAACAAATGGTGTTGATCGGTTGGCCTTCACCCGCGACGATGCGACAATGCTGGATCGATGGATCGATGATGTTTGCGGTGAAGAATTGCAGTTCCCGGCCCACAGACGAAGTCAATTCGAGACGTATAAACGACATATGCGACAATTACGGTCAGAGGCTGGACAGACATTCTTCCGCAATGCAACACGCTCAGGCACACGAGAGATTTTGGCTCTTCAGAACATGATAGCAGCATTAAAACAATTGAAAGAGAGAGATAGTTTACAGCGGGTGATGCTGCAGAAAGAGATTGAATCCACAGAGCGTGTCTTGGAGGAGATGCATACCGTGTTAGTACACGAAACCGCAACATTATTACCACCACTACCACCACCACCACTGCCGCCATCGTCTGGAAATTCCTATGGACCATACCAAACGATGGATGCCGAATCTCTGGAAAACACGGCCGCCTATGAAAGCCATAGAAAACTTGCGGAGCGATATATACAAGATCTCGAGCGTCAGCGACAAACAAACCGCGAGCAGTTGGAGCAACATCGGATGCGTTACAAGACGTTATTGGATCAAGGTGAACAGTTGCAATTGGAAGTGAATGCACTACAAGAAACGGAAAAGACCGTTGTGGAACGCTTTGATGAGGTTAACAAGGAACTTGAGGCCGAACGTGCTTTGCTGGAAAAGGAAAAAGCAGCATGGGAAGAACGGCAACGTCTGCCACTCTATATATTCGGAGAGGAGAACAGTGAGATATCTGCTATGAATACTTTGGGGGAAAATGAACAAGATAAAACTGCTGCTCTTCGTGATCTACGCCTGACCCTTACAAATGCTCATAATGAACTCACACAAGCACAAACTGCTCTGGATAACGCAGAAAGTTCTCACACCGTACGGTTTCGCCAGTCACGACAGCGATTAAAAGATTGGCAAGATATGGTGGAGCACATGCGACGTACATACGATCAACTTTCTGCTCGGACGGGTGTAATTGGAAAAGTGGTTGAAACTAACGCATCCCGATTGCAGGAAGAGAGTGGGAATAGTTACCTAGAGCAACTGCGAAAACTTAATCAGCTTCTTATTGAAAAAACAGCCACAACACTTGGATTTCATAAAGAAGAAGAAGAAGAGGAGGAAAATGCAGGTAATGGTGTGGGTGCTGAGGTGCGAGAACTCTTCGTGAACCAAATGCAGACAACACCATCTGTCTCTACTACAGATGACATTGGTCTCCATGCTACAACGCCACGACGTCTTCCATCCCTCTCTTCTACATCTACAACAACAATGGGTTCTTCAGTTAGCTCACCCATAGAAATGCATAGTACAACTGGCATAAAATCCCAAACACCAGCAAATAAGCGTCGTCGACATCGGCGGCCATATGCCCTTTTAACGTATTTACATCGATGGGAGGCCGCAATTACATCTGAAACTTCTCTTTTTCTTTCCTTGTGTGAAAAAGGAATAGGATCGACAGCTTCACCACCATCATCCACACCACAAGAAACTATACAACAGATACGTAAAACCCTTCTTATGGCATAAACTGAGAAAGTAAAAAAAAAAAAAAAAGAGCGCAAACGAAGAAAAAAAAACGAAATATATACTTCAAAATACGAAAAGGGAAAAAAAATTACGAGAAAATGAAAGCGACAATACTTTACAAAAGCCTTAATTAAACTGGTTTAAGGGGTATAATGTAAACCCATACTAAACATACCACAATACGCATTCAAACGTAATTCACTCATTCTTGCATTACTCTTCTTTAAACACAAATGAAGGACTAGATTGAAAACTCAATATAAGGATGAAGCGCCGTGTGCTGTATCTGCTTATTGTCCTGCAGCTTCCTATTGTATACTGGATGTGTCAAACATTGGTAAGGCCAACATCAAGCAGCGAAGGACAGGAGGATTCCCCACATTTAGAACATTCGAATGGTGGCTCATGCCACGATCGCTACGCGGCACAACCTGGGACTCTGTTCCCATGTACCCCTCGCGTGACACGGCACAATCACCTCAGCGAGTTCTTCCAGTGGACAGCCGCAGAGGAGCAGCGGAAGCGGAAGCTGCTTGCCCCATTGCACGCGTTCTGTGAGTCTAGGCGTGTTGATCCGTTTCCCACCTCTGCGGAGCGTGCATCCAAGGTGCGTGGCACCGAACGTCTCGCTTTTGTGGGCTGTGGGTCCTCTATACCCAGCAGCAGTGCGCAGGTCTTGTGGGACTACGCGGACGGAGTGAGTGTGCCGGAGGACGTCTTCATCCGCAGCGGTGGGAACGTCTTCGTGTCGACAAGTCTGGTGACTGCCGACGAGGAGCGCAGCGCCTTCGTCGGGTGGAGCGGGCAGTGGCACCGCTGCTGGATCATCCCAATGACGCGGACAACACCGCCCGGTGGCGGCGGCGCCGTCTATGAGCCGACTTGCCAGTCAGGAGACGTGGTTGACGTCCGCATGGAGTCTGCCATGGCCAAGGTGGCTGTGGAGCGTGTGATCGATATGGACAACGGAGTGCTGGAGGTGCAGTTCTACATCCGAAAGCGGGGAGTCTACTCCTTCTGTGCAGATCTGGTCGTGCGTCATCAGGACATGCTAGACGCCCTGGCGGCAAGTGAGAAGGGTAGGAACCGTAGCGTGCAGATGCTCGGGAGACTTTCACCCACCGCCTTGCTGGAGCACCACGGAACACCGGAGTATGCGGAGGCGGGTCCTGAGATTAAACCGCCACTCAACAAGACACCAGCGTACCCGAAGAACGTATATTGCATCGGGGGCACCATCACATCGCAAGGGGAGACTGCAGTGGGGCACGCGGTGGGGGAGGCGATGGTGCGATTCAACGATGGCGTTGACGTTGTGCCACTGCCAACGCGGTGTGACGTTGTTGATGACTTTGACCGCTTCCGTTTTGGTGGCTGGTACCGTGTGGGCCGTCGATGCGACGGCGTCCACTGCGTGGCGCTGAACCTGGGGGCAGGGGAGGTGGACCCGCTGCTGGAGTCAACGGAGGGGTGGTTGTGGGTGTCAGATGTTTGTCAGTTGCGTCTCTTCACTGACGAGGAACTGCTTCTCTCACTGTTCCCTGGTGCGTGGTTTCTTGCGTGGGGACCATCGACGACACGGGAACCCCTTGCAGATATGTTGGAGGAGCACCTCCATACTAGAATTTTTAACGTTTTTATGAAGGATTTGTGGAGGTATCCCAAAAAGAAAACTCCACCTTTTTATGATTACCGCATGTGGGATCGATGTGTGGAACCACATACGCTTTGGAGTAAGGAGCTTTTCAAAAAGGCAGGAAGGTCGACGCCGTCGACACGCGTAACATTGCTGTGGGGTGGTTGTCTTAGTACTTTCTCAAATCGTTGCCCGAAGCGCCAAGCGTTGGCGTTGTTTCACGAACGTATTAACCGTACCTTTGGTATTGCAGTTCGTAGGGGCCGTAGAGACCGAGCGTGTGGAAGTCAGTCCTTTCCAACGGTGCTCCTGCTTGACCACGTTGTGTGGC